TACCGGGCAGTTCTATTTGACGATATATATATATCTCTGCCTACGGTTTACCGGGCAGTTCTGTTTGTGACGATATATATATCGTCACAAACAGAACTGCCCGGTAAACCGTAGGCAGAGAGAGAGAAGAGGACAACAAACGAGGTATATATATGTTTTGCTCTTCCCCATCGTTGGGGTATTTCGTTTTGCGGACCTACTGTATGGATCCGTCTTTTTTCTATTTTTTTTTTTTTTTTGGGAAGCATTAAACCTTATATTGCAAAAATTCCAGAACGAGGCCGGGGACCTCACAACTCAAACCGGAGTTATCCTGGCAGCCTCAGCCAGTTTAGCTTTCGAGCACAACTCGTATCTGTATCTACCAACCAGAGATAATTCCACCCTACATAGGGAAACTAAGTCCGAAGTCTCCTTCTAATTACTTACCATCGCTTTCCAAAAAAATAAACTTGAAGCTCAGAGTAAAAAAAAGGGGTATCCATGTGTCAATCAATAGCTGTCAAGTCTATAGCTGGCATCCAATACACAGTCTACAAGCGACTGTTTCCCAACAGGTTCATGCCCAGTCCAGTTTACTATGGTTATGGCAGAATTTGTTTTGGTAATTTTGGCACCCTTGTCTGCATCCCGGTTGGTTTCGTCCCGTTGTTCGGCTTGCGGTAGGGTGTCCGTGGCGGTGATTTCATGTGGGACCTGTCATCCGGGTTTTCTAATCCTTTTGGCATCCTAGTTGGTGGCTGTTTCGGTGCTTTTCTGTGGGAATTGTCATCTGGGATTGATCGTCTTTTTTTGTTTTTTTGCCTTTGGTGGCGTCCCAGTAGTTTAGTTTGGAACAGCGAAGCAGTAGTAGAAAGATGAAAACGATACCAGTTTTTGCAACAAACAACAATCGCAAAGGATTCTTGGAGTTGACACAGAGTCGCTGGTGAGTACGAATGGTTGTTATCTCGGATTGCTTGTTTGCAGGCAAGGGTGTTTTTATATCCTGGTTGGTCTTGTCCCGTCGTTTGGCCTGTGACGGAGGGGAGGGGGGTGCTTGGATGTGGGACTTGTCATCTAGGATTTGTTTTTATGTTTGTTTCCCCCTGTTTTGTTATATTTGGCTGTTCCCTTCCTCTTTCTGTGTCTCTTTGCCTTTTGGCTGTGTGCAAGTCGGTCGATATGACACACGGGGGTGGGGGCAGCCGCCGCTCAACCTACATCCACGTGGGCGGCTTTGTACGCAAGAGGTTCTGAACAGGGGGAGTAGTTGTAAGAAAGAAGATAAAAAAAACGAATTCATTTTTTTCTTGTTTTCTTTCTTGTTTTTCTTTTTTTTTTCGTTTTTGCGCTCTGATATTCTTGTGACAATATATATATATATATATATATATATATATCTAGTGCCAGCGGCGTGTCTGGAGTGTATTTTTTGGCTGTGACAGACCTTTCTTTGTTTCGTGGATGTTTTGCT